TCATGGGTTCCAGTAGTACCCCCTCTATACTACCCCCCTAGGGTCCCGGTTTAGGGTTTAAGGGTTCAGGGTTTAGGGGTTTAGGGTTTAGGGTCCCCCCTTAATTAAGGTTATTCAGGGATAATTAGGCCTAATTAAGATTAATCAAGGGGGGAGCCTAGGTAGCAAAAATGATGAGATCTAAACAAGCCAGCACCATGTTTTCTGCAGCCGCAGGGTTTAGGGTTCAGGGTTTTAGGGTTTAGGGATTTAGGGTTCAGGGGTAGAGGTTTAGGGTTTAAGGTTCAGCATATTCTACCGATCCTCAGATTGGAACCCCCCAAACATGACCCCATAATATACTACATTGGGGAACCTAGAGGATTGTTGGGACGGGTCCATTTTTCTTGGATCCTTTGGGGGCGTCTGGGTATATATCTACTTTTCGATGAGGACCACATCCAGAATTCCGAGCTGCCCCATAAACCCCAAATAGATCAAGAGAGGCCTTCACATCGGGGATGACCTTGGCCACAGCCTTCGCGGCGCCCGTGGAGGACGGGATAATGTTGCCTGCAGGTAAACTGACTCTGAGCTGAAACCCTTACTCCTGAACCCTTGACCCTAAACCCTTATAGGGTTTAGGGTTTAGGGTCAAGATCCTTGATTCTGAGCTCCTTCCCGAAACTTTATACCCTTAATCCAAAAAAGCCCTAGACTTCAAACCTTCAACACTACATCTTAAAACCTACACACCAGATATCCCTATACTCCCCGTATATCCCGTTTACACCCCAGAATCAAACCCTTAACCCTAAACGCCTGGTCCGGCTCGGCCACCACGCCAGTCCTTCGCAGGAAGCTCGCTTGAACAAAGGGTTCTGCGGCTCGATTTTGCTTCCGCGCCGGCCGTTTCTTTGGGCTCATTTCAATCACACAGCTTGTTTGTGCTGTTCGCCTTTAGCTGGGTCAACACCGCAAGCTAGTGGTACGCGTAGGGGTTGAGGAATTATGTTGGGATGACAAGGTGTGTATCGTGGTGTGCCTTGAGCATTGTATGGTGATCTTCGCAGAAACAACGAAGTAAAATACAGATAAAGGATCCCAGCACGCGACGCGGGGGCTTGGGGTGGAGAGTTAAGGGTTTAGGGTTTAAAGTCCCTCTTGAGTAGATAGAATATGGAATTGCACAATATCATATTAAGACCCCCATATACTCCATATTAGGGTTAAGGGTTTAAGGTCTTGGGCATATCCCCCATAATTAAGATAATAATATGAAAAAGTAGACGGAAAATGATATTGAAACTGGGGTTACAGGGACATATCATAGGGTTTCCAGTTGTTCTTCAGAGAATTGGCTCCAGAGGGAGACTGGAACGCTAAGCCCGCCCCTAACCCGCATTCAGGGCCTTGAAGGTCTAATATTGGGGGGAGGGATAACATTGGGCATGTGATGCCTGGAAGAGGAGGAGCCTCCTAGCCACATGGTTTATGGTTTTGGGATTAGGCTTTAGGGTATGGGGTTTAGGGAACTTTTGAACTAGTGTTTAGGGAGTAAGGCTTTGGGTTTAGGGCTTAGGGATTGCCATGCAATGAGAAGTTACATGTGCATCTTCCTCCGGCTCGGCGAGGACCGCTTTTGCCTGCTCGCGACCAGGCCTCAATCTCCAGAAGGATGCCCGTATCCAGCTTGATGCCCAAGACGTCGGGCACGTTCGTCGTGACCGCGTCCGGAATGTGCCCTCAGAAGCTTCCCTCTTCGACGGTGGACAGCCTGCATTCCTGAAACCCCGAACCCTCCAGGTATACTCTGAACCCTAAACTCTAAATTGTTCTAAATAGGCCACGCCCCGCACCAGCCCAACCACTCTGCCGTGGACCGTGCACCCCGACCCTAAAACCTAAAACCTAGACCCTAAAACCTGAACCTTAAACCTAAAGTGTAACCCGTCAAGCCCTTGTAAATACAAGTACACAGTATAAGGGGCTTACGGCTTAGGCTCTAAGATTTAGGGCTACTCGATCAAGACCTGACCGAAACTCTTGACATGCAACGTAGACCCCGGATTAATGAACCCCCTGCCTTAATATTAGGATCCCTACTATAATCCCTATTAAAGGGAGGAGATATACTAATCAGGGGTCTGCGTTATACACTTTGCATAAACCCGAAACCCTCTATACAACCTAAACCCTAAGTGCTAAACCCTCATTCCTAAAACCTAATTCCGAAACACCAGACCCTGAACCCCTAAACCCTAAACCCTACACCCTAAACCCTAAGCCCTCCTTCTTGGAGGTGCCATCCACGGTGGGCTGCGAGGCGGTCATGGCATGGCAGGTGGTCATGAGACCCCTCTTGATGCCGAACCTGACTTGTGAGTTTAGGGGTTTGAGGTTGAAGGCTTCGGGCTTAAGGTTCAGTACGTTGGGCTTAGGGAACTTGACCCACTTCGGATCCCTAGTATACTGTAACTCCTCGGGTATAGGGTATATGCAATGATTTCCTCCATTCAACAGTAGGGCATTGCCAGGTAGAAGTAGATTTTAAGGAGCGCATGAAGGTTCAGGAGTTTCCTGGATGTGGTCCTCAACTGCTAGAACAGGCAGACATAGCGTTTCAGGGTTCAGGGCTTAGGGTTTCGGATTTGGCGTTGAGGGCTTAGGAAATATAATGGACAATAAAGAAATATGAATGGACAGTTCCTCATAGCCACAGGATCCCCCTGTGATTCGGGCTTTTGAGTTTCTCCAGTCTTCCCTAAACCCTAAACCCTCAGCTCTAGCCTCTGAATCCTTAACACCCATAAACCCTGTACCCCCAGCCTTCTATCCTGGATTCCCCTACTACCCCGGGTTGCAGAGTTTAGGGTGTAGAGTTGCCGGCATGCTACCCTCCCGCAGGTTCCGCCGTCAGTACGGTTACCAAAGAACAAATTAGGGCGAATTCAGCGTAAGGGGAAACCTAGGCGGCTACTAGGGTAACCGATACGCTATGCCCTAAACTAAAGCGAAAAGCCTGAACCTTACACCACTTACTATACCCATTCTATACCCAAACCCTACACCATATGTACCATTAAAACCTAAAACCCCAAAATTAAGACCGTAACCTGCAAGCTCTGAGCCCCGAAGATCCCTGAAGCCAAAACCCTTTGCTGCCCTCTCAACCCAAATTGTAAACCCTTGGCCCAAGAAGTATGATCGCTTAAAAAGGGATGTGTGGGGCTATGTAGGTCTTAGGGTTGAGGGGTTGCCTGGACCCCTGAAAGTACCTAGACTAATGGTCTTGTTATATAACCGTTGCTAGGGGTTTGGGGCCATTGGTTTACTTATCTGTGGAGCTTAGGTAGCTCTAGGGAACCCGAAGCTCGAAACCCCTAGTTAAACCCTAAACCCTAAACCCTTTGACATAAAGGCCCAGCCCTAAGCCGCAACCCCCAAGATACCCTCTGATCTCAAGCGTCAAGCAAGAAGCTTCTCATGCAGCACTCGCACCGCAGGCGCCAAGCCGTTAGTTGTGCCTTGGGGCTTTTGCTTCAGGGTTCGAGGTTTCAGAATTTAAGGTTTAGGAAGTTTAGGGTTTAGGGTCCGGGGTTTCAGGATGTAGGGTTCGCGGTGTGGGATTCACGGTTTTGGATGAGAAGGCTATCTAGGAGTTCTGATTTGGGGGTGTTGCAAAATGAGGCCCTGGGCCTTTACAGGGTGTCTGTTTTCCTAGTATTCAGCTTTAATAAAGAGAGACCCCAAAATGAAAAGGGGAAAAAAGTACGACTGGGCCACTACTGGCATACCTAGCTACGTGATATAGGGATTGTATAGGATCATATCGGTTTATATAGGCTTGGATAGGATTTTTAGAGTCACCCAAGCGGCAGGATGCGCAGGACACGCACTCCATGGACGGGTCGTAGGTGTCCTTCCCGTGTTGGGCTTCGTGACGCTTACCCTGGAAAGGGGTTTGGGGCTTACGATTTAGGGTATAGGGTTTAGGGCTTGAGCCTCATGATGTTTACCCGTGAAATTCCGTTTGCGGATGGTAAGGTTTAGAGATTTGGGCTTAGGGGTTCTACAAAATCCACCAACGACGGCCCTAGAAACGCAACTGTGCAAACAAATGGGGGCTATGTGCGGTTCCAACATTTGCGGAGGACAAGTAAACTCTAAACCCTAAGCCAGGTCTCAACAACCCCAAACCCCAGACCCTGAACCCCTGAATAAAACATATACCCTAACGCCCCAGGCCCCCCTCCCCCCCCAAAAAAAAGCTGAACATACAGCCCAGCCCAGGACAACTTTAGGCTTCGGCAGGCTTGGCTGGAAGCCCTACAAACTAACTCGGCCCTAGGCCCTAAACCCTGAACTCTAAACCCTAAACTCTACACCGTAAACCCTTAACCCTACCCCCTAAACCCAAATGCTGTGGAGCGTCCTCATTCACGCCCATGACGATGGTGTGGGAGTCATCCTGAAAAGGACTCGGCACGGTTAGGGTTTAGGGTTGCAAGATGCAGTTCCTTGTGAGGGCCAATGGTAATCCTATGGACTATGATATCATCCTTCTCAGTCGCCTTGGGGGATGGGGCTTAGGGTTAGGGTTTGAGGGTTTTAGGGCTTTAGGGTTTAAGGTTTAGGATTTGAGGGTTTAGGACTATTCCATAAACAGGCGGGACAAGATTACAGAATCAGATAAAGGCAATAGAGGTGACAGTAAAGCCTTCTAGGGACTGTCGAAGTCCACCGGTCACCCTGAATACTCTAAGGGAGCAGGTACCCAAAGAATAGGGTTTGAGGTATCAAAAACTTCTTAGATTCATGTATTCGGATTTGCAACCGTAAGCCCGCACTGAATGTGGGTTTTGGACGGTCCAGTAGGGTTGTAGGGGTGCTGGCGCAGGAAATAATATACTTGAAGGTACGTGGGTAGTTTGGGGTGGGGTTATAAGAGCTAGGACCATCGGAACTGCTATGCCAACTCTAGGAACTTTCTTACTGATTATCCCGAATAATAGTCATGCTTCAGCTCTGCAATAAAACCGGCTGAAGGTTTGGGGTTTAGGTGTTCCTTGATTCACGTCTTATAGGCTAAAGCAAACAATACCTTTCCAACCAATGACTTCATGGACATTGCATAGTTGAGCCTGCACGTCCAAGCCACGAATGCTACGACCCAAATCCTAAGCCCTGCGCAATGAACAACAAAGCCTACATTGCCCTAATTTATAAATATATATATATACATAGATATACATACACATGAATCTCTGCTTGTCCTCATGCACATGCCACCCTAAAACCTAAAACCTACACCGTTAACCCTGGATTTAGCATTTATGGTTTAGGATTGGTTTAGGATTTAGGGTTTAGAATGTGGGGTTTAAGGTTTAGGGAAGTTCTATCAGGTAGCTCTAGCTGTTGCTCTTGCCAAACCCTAAGGATCCAAGGACCCAAGTAATAGGGTTTTAGGGCCCAAATACTATAATCTTAATGGTATTTTGGCCCTAAAACCCTATTATTTGGGTCCTTGGACCCTAAACCCTAAACCCTACATATCCCCCTATAACCCCTTTAAAGGGACCCTATTATTTGGGTCCTTGGACCCTTAGGGAAAGCTTT